ATTCTAAGACCAGACGCCCTGTGTTCTGGGCTTTTTCAATATCGTCTATATTGAACACCTATGTAAGAAATACATTTACATGTATTATCTTACTTAGTCCTCAGAATAACCCTGCCAAGAATATACTGTTACCTCCATTGTGTATGGTTAAAGAAATAGATTTAGGGAAAACTAAAGTATCAAATAGTGTTGGCATCAAAGTCTAGAACTATATTAAGGAGACCAAAATTGTGTATTATAAGGTGATGTTCATCACTTGCAGCACTGTGCTTTTTTATGTCTTTTTAATCTTTTGATGTTTTTAACTTTAAACTGTTGATAACAGTTTGGAAGAGACTTTTGGATGTGGTTACCTGAATGACTTCAACACTGCTTGTTTACAAGAGCCACAGTCTGTTTCAATTCTCCAGCATCTTCTCAGGTATGATGTTTTCCAGGGATCATCAAGTGTGCCTCTGCTTATCAAAATTGCTATTGGCATTTTTGCTGCCCAGTAGGATCAGCAGGCCAGTAGCTTAACTCCTACCTCTAGACTTTTCCCAAAGGTATGCCTAAAAAGTGATTATTTGCCTTCTGAGGGCAGGCAGAGGCCATAGATTAAGCCAATGCTCAAGGACAGTCTGGGTCTTCAGAGTATCACTGATGAATTAGCACACATCTAGTTGCCTCTAGTTCACATAAAGCCTGATAAAAGCATAACCTTTTAGTTTTGAGAAAGAGCATCTTCTTGCCCTCTGTGATAAATGAAGGAAAATACCTGCCTTTGTGCAGCTTCCTAGAGACCATTAAGTCCTCCATTTTCCCTCTTGGTTTCGGTTCACCATCTCAAATACATGTATGTATCTGATGCTCTTGCACTAGGCAAGAGACCACACATTTTAGTTCTGATGGGCATTGTTGAAGGAATTAGTCTCTACAAGAGATATGGGTGGTTATGAACAAGGCGGTTTTCTTTGATTGCCGAATAGTAGTCAGTGGTTCTTTCCTGGGATCAGAAAAGTTTATCCACATGTACAATAGCAAATGTGAGGAAAAATAAGCCAACCAGCTTTTCTTAGCATTGAGGGTAGACTTTGCTAGTTTATATTTTACGTTCCTAAACATAGCTGGAGGCTTTTTACATTCACCAGCCATGATTTAACTTTTTGCTGTGGACTAGGTCTAGGGAATATCAAGATGATTTAAAGTCCCTGCCATCAAGGAATTTGTAAGAAAGAAAAATGTTCCTTTACCTTCAAATGTACACACTTTTTCATATACCTTTTTTTTTTTTTCTGAGGGGGAGTCTTACACTGACGCACAGGCTGGAGTGCAGTGGTATGATCTAAGCTCACTACAACCTCTGCCTCCTGGGTTCAAGTAATTCTCCTGCCTCAGCCTCCCAAGTAGCTGGGACTACAGGCACTCACCACCACACCTGGCTAATTTTTGTATTTTCAGTAGAGACAGGGTTTCACCATGTTGCCCAGGCTGCTTTTGAACTCCTGACCTCGTTATCTGCCCAACTCTACCCTAAAGTGCTAGGATTACAGCCTTGAGCCACTGCACCTGGCCATACCTACTGTTCTGAATCATATCAAGTCAGTCTGACATTTACGATCTTTTGATGTCTAATATTTTACTTTAGTGTAACACGTAGTCATTTCCTGTTCACTGTTCTGTCATCTTTTAGGTTCGACGAGGTACTTTACAGATCGTCTCAAGACCTTCAACCCAGGCATATTGTCAGTTACCTTCTAACTTTAAGGTACTTTATAGTCTTCCTGTTTTCAGGCGTTAATGACATTTGAGACTTTTCTTTGATCTAAACGTTTCCTATAAACAAATTCCTTGGCCTAAAATCTGATGTGCTGTTGCAGAAATTATTGCTTCATCTATACAAATTAGCAGTTAATGTTCCTTCATTCATTCAGTGATACAAGGTACTATCAGTACCTAGTCTAGAGAATGGGAACTGACAACTACAGTTACAGCACAGTGCATGTGTATTAGAATGAACATAAGAGATGGTGTTAGGGCAGCCAGCCCAGCCGTGAGAGATCAGAGAGGGCTTCTCAGAGGAAAGGAGATATTAGTCAGGAGAAGCAGTGTGGCTGAGAAGAAGGAAAAAGCCCAGCGTTGACCAAGAACATAATAATACATTTTAAAGGATCCATAAGCATTGTCCTGGGAGGGCTGATAAATGAAGCGTGTATAAACCTATATGCCATGCAATGAGGCATTTAGACTTACTTTCAGGGCGGTGGGGTCCATACAGGGATTTTAAGCAGAGGCACAGAAAAATAAGCTAGAAAAATTATTCTATTCTTTAATGACAGTTTCATGGTGTCTGTTTTAGAAACTTGGAATCGAAGTTGAGTCCACTCTTACATAGCAGCAGCTGTATCTTCCCATAAAGCTATTTAACAAAGGAAATTTTGCTTTTACTCAACATTTATTGAAATTAGACACTTAGCAGGACTGTTTTCTTGATTATGCTTTTTACCTTGTCTTCCCTAGATTTATGTAAGGTTTTTGTTCTTCCTGTGACACTTAAAACATACAGAGGTGAAGAAGCCACAAAGTCTTACGAAATGTCATTTTATCATTAAAACTGATGTCTTCAGTATCATTTCTCTAGCACATTTTTCTACTTGCTGCCATACCTAAATTTAAAAGACACTTTAAAGAAGGGTGGCCAGTGTGTGTGGAGAGTGGATAGTAACTACTCTCTACCCCACCTCACTATACAGAGGGAAAGGCCATGCTGTGTTATACATTTGATTGTAGGCTGCCTAAATTGAGGAAAAATGATTAGAAAAGAATCTCCAATATTTGTAAAATTAACAGTGAAACCATAATCTTAAGAATTGCCCACCTCTTAGTCGTAGACTAGGACCAAGATCTAAAGCTTGAGTTTTAAATTCCAGTTTCAACTTTACAATTCTAAATACATCCTTTAATGGTTCTGAACTTTATTGAGGGAGTAAGATTACATATCAAGCTCACATGTTACAACAGGAAATTACTGCTGGTACTATCATGATTTCTCTCTTCTTGTTTCAGTCATCTTGCAGCTGTGGCACACAAAACACTACAAATAAAAGATAGTCCTCCTGAAGTGGCTGGGGTATGTTATATTGAATGTTTTCTGTATAATGTCTAGCTCCTTAGACTAATATTACTAAGTCAGTCTTGTAAATTTTTCTAAAATAGCATTCTACTGTTCAACTGTAAGCAGTATATTTCCTCAGCTAATAGACTGTAACAATCAATGTTTATATACTTCTCAATATGCTAGACTGAAGCACATTTTCCTATATGAAATATTATAGTGATAAAGTCACCTTATCTGAAGCCATACTGTGTGATGATACTGTCACTCCTACTCCATGACACCCTATGTACAGGTCTTACTGTAAGGGATGCCAGGAATTTATCTTCTCTTGCCTATGATAACTATACAGCACTTTGACATACTGTTCCTGCTTTAAAGTTAGAATTACCTTTAAAACCATTCTCATGAATTTACTTATAGCTAGGCTGTTGTTGAACATTTTAAGTCATTCTTTGATTTATTTTGTAGGCCAGACTTCATCTTTTCAAAGCTGTCCGTTCTGTCCTAGCCAATGGAATGAAACTTCTTGGAATAACACCTGTATGTAGGATGTAATTTCCAATTAAAATGGCTTTTAAAATGTCAAATGAATTCTAGTTATCTATTCTGAGACGCTTTACTGTTTAGAATAAATTTAAACTATTATTCTATATAGTTTATAGGTGTCAGAATCTGTATTTTAAACTATGACTTGTCAAGTTATTCAGCCTTTATCCTTAAATAAGTCATCTGAATTCTCTCATGGTCAGTAGGTATTTAAATAGACATTAAGTTGAAACTTTTTAAATCCAAAGCATTGTGGCCTAATTGGGGCTATAAGGATTTGAGTTTAAACATTGGCTTGAAATTTCTTACCATGTCATTCTTCCAGAAACTATTCTTATAACTGAATGATTTTTAATGTTTTCATAAAAGAATTGGTGGGGGGTGGGGGTCTCAATTTTCTTGTAATTGTGGCTAGTTTGGAATAAACATAGGGAGATCAAAAATAAGCATCTTTCTGTCAATATAGCTGACAACTACTCCCAGAGAGGATACATCTTATGTTCCCTTTGAGTTAATATATACAGGTAACTCTTACTTTGTGAACTCAGGAACTAAGTACATTTTAATAGCAGGGAATTACTTGTAAAGACATTGAATTAGGATCTTTTTGTAAAATGTAATCCATTAATTCAACCATAATTTGAAATGGAGTTTCTTATAGTTTCCTTCATGTATCTTCATATTGGTAACATACATTTTATGTGGCTTCATTAGATAGCATGAGCATGGCTTAGGCAACAAGAGTAGGATATGGTGTGTTTGATCAGTATGGCTATCCTCAGCATTTCCATTCAGGTCTGCTATAATTTATTCTAAATGTTGCTAGTAGTAGTCTTTTGAATACCAGCAACCAGTACTGTTTTTATGAGTAGAAAAGCAAATTAGCACAAACTGAAGCTTTTGTAGTTAAGAGTGAGAATTGTTTCATATTAGCAATTATGGCTTACCTTCTTAGTCCTAGAAAAGATGCAGCAGTTACAATTTAAGTGAATTACCTCCCAGATAGCAAATTTTCCTCTAAGTGTCAAATTTTTCTTAGTATAAGCCAGCCATGGGATAAAAATGTAAAGTAGGGACACGTTTTACACATCCACCGTCCCTCTCTACTTGTTTGAAGAAACTTTCTCCTCCCAAGATCAGTAGTGTCTTCCTCAGTATTTGAATCTTGAGTGAAAGCATACAGGAACAGTAATGGTTAGAGTCGAATCTTTACAAAAGCTGAAAAGACTGTTTATTAATTCTTAGAACCTAGACTCCTATAGCCCTGATTGTGGACCTTCTTAAAAAGTGTTTTTTTGCCTAAGGCTTGCCAGAGTTGATTTGCAGCCAGAGAACCCTAACTATACAACTCCACATGTGGAAAATACAAGTGCATTATCTTAATGGTCATATCTATAATATAAAAAAGTGATTAAACAGAATTTATATAAAGACGTTTATTGCTGAATTTCCCCTTTAACATTATAGAAATGTTTTTAAAAACACTGAAATTTCACAAATTATTGAGAGCCCAACAGTTAAACATACTTTATTTAAAAAAGTACAAAAGTGACATTAGAAATTTTTTTGAAGAAAAGTATATCGTCTAACAGCAAAGAAATATGAACCAGACAATGAATGGCACAAATACAGCACTAAAGGGGTACTCATCACCACCCAGAAATCATTGTCTGAGTTATGAAATAGATTCATTTTGAGAGGTTACACATTGTTTGTTTCTGAACTAGCCTGTCTTGTTTCTGCTTCTTGTAAGAAAAAAGCTAGGTCTTTGCGGCTGCTAGGACAAAATACTATACATGAATAGGAGAACAAGGAGAGGTCATCCTTCTCCCCTGGTACCTGAACAAGAGAACAGTTAGTACAGAAATGGCTTTGGCACTTTAACCCTTAGACATTGTCCCAAACTTTGTTACTTGAATATTGTAGCCTCACATGATTTTTTTTAAAACACTACATCATCTCCATACTTTTTATGTACAAATTATATATAAATACACAGTAATAAAATTCCTTCATTCTAAAACGATATAGTTTGACCCCAAACAGGTCCACATTAAGTTTCTGTATTAACAATTCACTCGGATAGCTTTTTTTTTTTGTTATTTCCACATACAGCACTGATCTTCTTAATTCCTAGGCCATACAGTTAATTTGTTATTTGTTTATGCTACCTTCTGGGATTGACTTAAGGCTCTAATGCTAATGGTTTAGTCTTAACAGGAGTCTCATGTGAGGCTAAAATCACACACCAATAACTCTCTCCTTTGAAGCTGTTTCTCCTTGTTGGATGGATGTAGTGTCTTGTCTGGGTAATCCATAGAGATATATGGAAACACATACAAGAAGAGTACCAAGAGCAAAGGTGAGTGCTGAAAAGAAAAAAAAAAAACAAAAAAACAGCTTTATCTGTATGTATGTCTTAAAACTGCCTAACAATGATCAGTTTAAAATTGTGAAAACTCTTAATTGTGGGTTAACACTATCAGATGATATTTTAATGATGGTAAGGTTTAGAAAGGTCTTCCATTACAGCAAAAAAAAAAAAAAAAAGAGTGGGGAGGCAGGGCAGGTAAAATCAAGGCAGTGTTGATTACTGACTACAGACTTTTTAGAACATGAATATGCCTACCTGACACTATCTGACCACTCTGACAAAGAACATACTAATTTCCTTATAAAGTATATAATTTTTAAATAATGTAAGTATAAAATATATGTAAGTACAAAAGAAAATGTGGTAGGATTGGCTTTTCCATTACACCAGAAACCTGTGAAAGTTCAGAGTAAAAGAAAGTTGAGCAAATTTCAAACCATTGATAATTTCTTAATAGTATATGCAGCAATAATTTACTAAATAAAACTACATTTCCTACTAGTTTTAACCCTTTCTTCATCTTAAACATCATGATATAAGAAGCCGAATTATAACTTGTCCTAAATGGACAAATATATGATATCAAACTTTATTTTAGTTCACTCCTAACTAAAAAAGACCAGCTTTGCCTTCAAAAAAGGGGAAGGTAAGATAAAAACTTAAATCTGAACAGTTAACTGAAAGATTGCTAAGACATGCTAGTTGACCATCAGTAAGAACATTAAACTGTTCCTATATTCTTCTTAAGAGCAATGGTATAAGGACTTTGTTGAACAGAAAGACAGATCAGAATTACAACTATAAGTTCACCCACATCAGGTAGAAAAACATCTAAGGGAGAGACAGGAAGTACCAGATACTGAAATGGTAAGTGGTGGGTAAGTAGTGCCAAGCACTACTCAAGCACTTCACCTGAAAACCATCCTTGTCAATGAGTGATATTATTCCCATTTTACAGAGGAAGAAAATGTCACCCAGGATACATAAGTCCCCCAGATTGCACAGTTAATAAATGGTACAGGCAAGATTTGTCACACACTATAAATGGTTTTCTAGGATTTCTACAACACTGACATTTCCCTATTTCCATTTATAGACAGGAGTCAATTTAAAAATGAAATGTAAATATAAGCCAGGTCACTTTTACTTAATACAGATATTTAACAGATATTCTTTGTACATTGGTTTATAATAGTTGATCAGTAAAGAAAAGTATTACACTATAAAAGGATCCTGAAATGTTAAGTCAATATCATTGCTTAAATAATTTAGAAGCCAACTTAATGCTGGGTGTGAGAGTTGGGAAAATTATATTAGGACTAGCAAAGCAGTGGTACTGGAATGCCAGCTATAGTAATGAATTTCGTATTAATTACATACTGAATGAAGCAAAGATATAAAAGACAAAATCTAGATTTTGACTTTGTTTTCAAAACCATCTCACACCCAATTCCTAAGCAGTTGAAAAGTACAACCTGAGGGGGGAATAAAGGATGTTTTCTACATTTTTCTAAATAATGAGCCAATATAGTTTAAATTGACTGCTGAAAATAATTTCCTAAAGTCAGCCGGGCGCAGTGGCTCAAGCCTGTAATCCCAGCACTTTGGGAGGCCGAGGCACATGGATGACGAGGTCGGGAGTTCGAGACCAGCCTGACCAATATGGTCATAAAGCCCCGTCTCTACTAAAATTAGCCAGGCATGGTGGTGCATGCCTGTAATCCCAGCTACTCGGGAGGCTGAGGCAAGAAAACTGCTTAAACCCAGGAGGCAGAGGTTGTGGTGAGCCGGCGATCACACCACTGCATTACAGCCTGGGCAACAGAGCATGATTCTGTCTCCAAAAAAAAAAATTCAACAACAAAAAAGGCCAGGCGCAGTGGCTCACGCCTGTAATCCCACACCTCTCAATCTCTGCTTGAGAGGCTGAGGCAAACAGATCAAAAGGTTAGGAGTTTGAGACCAGCCTGACCAACATGGTAAAACCCCGTCTCTATTAAAAATATAAAAATTAGCCAGGCACGGTGGCGAGTGCCTGTAATCCCAGCTACTTGGGAGGCTGAGGCAAGAGAATTGCTTGAACCCAGGAGGCAGAAGTTGCAGTGAGCTGAGATCGTGCCACTGCACTCCAGCCTGGGCAGCAGTGAGACCCTGTCTCAAAACAAAAACTATAATTTCCTAAAGTCTTTATATGTATTTCCCTGAGTTGTCCTATATATAATACTTACAAATGCAGGGAGGCCCTGACTACAAAAAAAAAAAAAAAGTCCCCTCACTTTCACATAGAACCATTACCCCTTGTCTTAAGCTCTAGGACCACTTAATGAAAGTACTGCTTAGCCACATTCCACAAAACTATGAACAGCTGTACCAGTGGAATGAATCAAAGAAATGAGGGGCTCTTCCATGTTAAAAACTCAGCACAAACTAAGACATACTTATCTGTAATCCAAACAGCATTACTGAAGCAATGGTGGAAAGGACAATGGCCGCTGCTGCAGAAAAGCCTTTCATGATGTTGTCTGTATACTTAACCACAACAGAAGTGTAGAGGCCACCAACACTTGCAAGCACTTGTATACAGAAAGAAATAAAATCTTAACACTCAAATAAATGAAACATTCCGTAATGGTGAGGCAATTTTCATCCCCAGAGATGCCATACTAATTTATCTAGGAAAAGGAAAATACTATTTTCCTTAGAAGGAGTCATCTGAAAGAGTTTGTACTACAACTGAGTAGTAGTTCCTATATAACACTGTTTTTCCAAAGCAATGCCCATAGGGCTATGTGGTCTACTAAATTTTACACATTTTTTGCTAATACGTTAGATATTTTGGGGCACTGCTATCCCAAAGCAATTTTGCCTTCACAATTAAAACGAAGTCAATAAAATGAAAATTATATTCAAACTGGTATTTACAGTATCAAAGGATTAATTTCAAAATGTTGTAACAGCTTAAAATGGACATCTAACGTTAAAAAAAAAAAAAAAGGATCTACTAAGAACCCTTAATTCCTGGATACTTACAGATGACAAACCAGACATAATATGTGTAACCATAGAAAAATCCTTTTTCTTTAATTTCAGCTCCATCTGACAAGTAGACGCCAACTAATGTCACAATAATCCCTGATAGATACATTTGAATGTTTCTCACCCAAAGAGAAGTATCTGAACTCTTTAAAACTTTTTCAAAGTATACTCCTGAAAGAAGAAAATTAGACATGCAAATATTAAAGATTACTATAACTTAAAATGTCTTTCATCTAGAACAATACACTAGCAATATATTAAAGTATATGATTTGGGGAACAAACACACTTTACTTAAATGTGCATTTATTATGTAGGTTGTGACACATGGCATAATGAACATTATACATTTGCATTTTTATAGAGTATATAGAATAATTAAGTGGGAAGTTTATAGGCTATATTTAACAGAAAGCTGTTAAGACAGTTTCTGCCTTTATTATGGCAGTAAGATAGCCCACAAAACCTCTCTGTACTACTCAATAGTGTAGTTTTTCAGCTGACCAAAGCAAATAATTTACTGGCATTAAGAGTGAATTATCTTACTCACATCCCTGTAATATCTGCCTACTAATGAATACTCCTAATTCTGCAACACAATCTGTAGTCACCACTAGGAAACTTTTCAGAGGGACAACCAAAATTTAAATGGAATTTGCTGTGTGAAGCAGTTTCGTTTTTTTTTTTTTTTTTGAGATGGAGTTTCACTCTTGTTGCCCAGGCTGGAGTGCAATGGCGCGATCTCGGCTCACAGCAAACTCCACTTCCCAGGTTCAAGCAATTCTCTTGCCTCAGCCTCCCAAGTAGCTGGGATTACGGACATGGGCCACCATGCCTGGCTAATTTTTTGTATTTTTAGTAGAGACAGGGTTTCTCCATGTTGGTCAGGCTGGCATCGAACTCCTGATCTCAGGTGATCTGCCCACCTTGGCCTCCCAAAGTGCTGGGATTACAGGCATGAGCCACTGCGCCCGGCCAGCCGTTTTCCTTTAAAGCAGGGTTCCGCAAGCCAGGTTCACACACAAGGTGAGATGGATCATGAACTCCTCAACTAGATAATAAATTTTGTGTATATGTGCATTTTTCTGGAGTTGAAGCTCCATAAATTTTTTTCAGATACTTCAAAGGAGTACATGATACCTCTCCCCCACAAAAAAAGTCCCATATCTCTCCTGTTTGGTGCTTAAAATGAATATTTTACAAAGTCATTAAAAATTTTAGTTATAAACATCATGTTAGAGATTTAGAAATTGCCTATGAAGTACTTATCAACTAAAAAGTCTAATGAAAAACAAGGTTTTTTTTTGATGAGTCTACATTGGAATGGGAACAAACATAAAATAGCTATTCTTATTGTCACCTTTGATTTTACCTTCTAGGAAAAGAATTTTATTCAGTGCTTAGTTACCCAAAACAGATTTTAAACCACCCACCATTTCCTCAATTGTGTATTACGAGGGTGAACTAATAAAATGTTGGACATAATAATTTAACTGTTCAAAATATTGCAAAAAATCAAATAGTATATTTTTTAGGTAACTCAATTTTTGTTCCCGATTTGGTTTCTACAACACAATGCTATCATTAAGCATATTCCTGAATTTATATTTTCTCCTCTTATAAAACATCTCATTTACAAGATTTTACTTCTGTATTCAGCCTGCTTTCCTAGTCAAAAATAGAGTCCTGACTTGAAATAGGTACAAATAAAGATAAATAATAAAGCCGTATAACTATAATATATTCCACTGAAAGCTTTAAGCAGAATAAAAACCAAACTTTCCTCTCTGCTGGAACTATTTCTAAAACATTTTTTATGTTACACTTAATATTCATACTTTATCTTGATGCATTGGAGGAGTGCTTGTCCCTACACATACAACTCCAGATTTCCAGGGATTTTTGATGTTAGTGATTTTGTGTTGTCTTTCCTCCCTGTTTGGTTGTTAGTTTTATGTATTATGTTTTCTAAGGTACTCTTGACCCACCTCGTCATCCTACTCCATAGCTCCTAACCTGTTAAAGCAGAGAGAGAACTTGAGGTTACAGGGGAAGAAAAGATACTTAGCTCGTAAGATAACAACCTAAAGCAGCAGGATCTGACTTGAGGATAGTGACAGTTCCAGAAAAATGTAAAGAGCTTTTGGAAGGCTCATTTCCTCCATTTTCAGAGGTCTTTTTTCGTTTACTTTTGGGTTCCTGGCTGGACTGAGGTGGTCAAGGATGACCGAAATAGTTAACTACAAGTATGAATAGAGACTGAGTCTGAACTTAGTTAAACAATGCTATATACATTTACTGGAAAAACAGCTGACACAAAACTACATAGAAGCAAGAAGATAAAGTTTAATGGGAATAAAACTGAGAAAGCAATATAAACTAGACTGGTGTCTAAAGTTTGATGTTTTCAAAAAATATGACAAAAGAATAAAATGATGCTTTTATAATTTACCTGCAAATCCTGAGCACAATACAGCAATAGCTATAGCGCCAAACCCTAATAATGGATTTTGTTCCACCTGCAATATTAATTTTTGAAGTTATTTTTAGTGACTAATAAACAGCATTCATCCAAGAGTCCAAACAAATACAAAAACCTGTGTTAGTCTTACTAAAAGTATTTCCATATCAGACACAAGTATTCTACAGAATAAGACAAAACTAAACAAGCAAAAAGACCATTCCAGAAATTAACCAGGGCACTTGGCTTAAGTGAAAAAATGTGTCCCTCAAGTCACAGCCATATTATATGCTTAATATAATGTGTGCCCAGTTTCCTACTACCAATAAGCACTCTAGCATGAACTTTGAAACAGCCCAAGTCAGCATGCTTCTTAATTTTAATTTCTACTATCACTCTAACTCAAGAGCTTATAGCATCAATCCTGAAAATGATAACAATTTAACTTATTTATTCCTCATCACCCACAGGATAAAGTGCTGCCTCTTCAGACTCCCCAATTCACTGAATCTTTAGTATACTTTCTGTGTACAAGATACATCGTCTATACACACTGCTACGGTTTGAATTTCCACCTCAAAACTCATGTTGAGATTTAATTGCCATTGCAACAGTGGTAAGAGGTGGACATTTACAAAATGATTAGGTCACGAAGGCTCTTCCCTCAAGAAGGATTGATGCCATTATGGAGGGAATGAGTTAGTTATTGAGGGAGCAGAGTTCTGATAAAAAGGATGAGTTCAATCCACTTCCCTCTTTGTTGCATGGGCTCACTTCCTCCTCCTGCCATAGAAGGACCCTCACCAGATGCCAGAGCCATGTTCTGGACTTCCCAACCTCCAGAATCACAGGCCAAATAAACTTCTGTTTTTTATAAATTACCCACTCTGTGTAGTCTGTTATTATTTTCTCTTTCTTTTCTAAACTGTCAGCAGCTTTCATCAGTCTTTACTGAAAGATAAATACTATCTCAATAGTTTCATTGAAATTAGAGGATTGAGATTCATGACTGTAATATGACAAGAAAGTATATACCTTGTTCAAGATAAATAAGCCTAATATAAGAAAAGTACCACTTTATGGTACCTGAGAGAGCAAGCTTGGTCTAAAATGTTTGCATGAAAATAAAAGGAGAAACTGAAGATACTGTAGACCAGTGGTTCTCAAAGTATGGGCCCTGGATCAGCAGTGGTGGCACCACCTGGAGGTTTGTTAGAAATAAAAACTGTCAGGCTCTACACCAGACTTACTAAACCATAAACTATGGGAATGGGTCTGGCCATGTGTTTTAACCAACCTTCCAGTTGATTCTGAGGTACACTACAGTTTGAGAACCACTGCTATAGACTACACATTATTAACAAGGATACTTTCCTAATACAAATTTCAAGACTGGCATAGATAGAATAAAATTATAGTGTGAGGTATCAACTATCCCAACATCTGCTGGGAAGAGCAGGAGAGCAAAGGCAAAGGTACCATACACTTTAAAACAACCAGATCTTCTGAGAACTTGCTCACTATCAAACTGCTAAAAATAGAGTGCCTGATAAATTCTTGCCTTACTTGCCTGCCAGCTTAATCTCTCTACAGTTAGGAAAAATAGTGATGGAAATGGCTTATCTGGACTTGATTCTGACTAACAAGAAACTGCTAGGTGATGAAGTAGATGTGATGGAAACTTTGGAAGAAAGCAACCATGTGATCTTAGCATGGGCCAAACAGCACAGTTAAAAGACATGTGCTCCAGTCCTGAATAAATCAAAATTCAAAAATATAAAATTTCAAGTTAGAATTCCATGGCTCGTGAAAAGATGATTCAAGAGAGGTTAAGAGTTATTGAAGCAGGTTCTGGTGAAGAGTTTAAAAAAAAAAAAAAAAAAAGGGAAATCAACATGACTAAATAAGGGCATCTTCACTGAATTCTGACTTTACAGGAACAGAAGAACTGAAGTATATATCACCAAGGGGAATCTAACCAGGAATTTAAGAACAGTATCAAGAAAGTGAAAACTCAGACTAAGTGGAGGCTTATGAAAATACTTTAAGACATTAAAGTTTTTTTTTTTGTTTGTTTTTTTGAGACAGGATCTTGTGGTATAATCATGGTTCACTGCAGCCTCAACCTCCTTGGCTCAAGTGATCCTCCTACTGCAGCCTCCCAAGTAGCTGGGACTACAGGCATGCACCACCACATCTGAGTTTTAATTTTTTTGTAGAGACGTGGTCTATGTTACCCAGGCTAGTCTTGAACTCCTGGGCTCAAGCAATTCTCTCTGCCTAGACTACCTATCTAAATAAATTTAAAAGACTATCAAGAAAAGTAGGTGAGTTAGTATATATAAAGCATTTAGATAATGCTAATATTTACTGCCATATAAGTGACTGCAGCTGTTATTGTTAGACTGATTACCAGCAAAATGTTAGAACAGATATAGAGATGACTTGTACTAAAAAGTCTAATGGTCATCAGTGGAAAATAGTATGACTTCACTAAGCATGAAACATACCAGATTTCCTTCCTGAAAGGATTCTTAATGTTAAGTGATGAGGGGAATTCCACAGAGATAGTGTTTGGCAAGAAATTCGACAAGAGTTGCATTATATATTTTTCTTTTTCTTTTTTTTTTTTTTTTTTTTTGAGACAGAGCCTTGGCCTGGGCTGGAGTGCAGTGGCACAATCTCGGCTCACTGCAACCTCCGCCTCCCGGGTTCAAGCAATTCTCCTGCATCAGTCACCCGAGTAGCTGGGATTACAGGCATCCACCACCACACCCAGCTAATTTTTTGTATTTTTAGTAGAGATGGGGTTTCACTATGTTGGCCAGGCTGGTCTCGAACTCCTGACCTCATGACCCGCCTGCCTCAGCCTCCTGAAGTGCTGGAATTATAGGCGTAAGCCACAATGCCCACCACATATTTTTATAGACGACACAGAAATGTAGTGAGGATAAAGATACAATTCATAAGTGTGTGAATGCTCATACAGAAAAATGCTAGTTAATTTAACAAAATCAAGCTAGACCAGCCACCAGTACGAACTTGCCAGGCATACAGATAAGCCACGTTAGAAACAGATCCTCCAGCCGCAGTCAGGCCTTCAGTTGACTGCAGCCCTAAGCTGCCGCCTCAAGCTAGAATCAGCTAGCTAAGGCACCCTCAAATTCCTGACCAATAAAAACTATCAGTGATGATAAATGTTCAGTAAGCAAGAAAAAGATCAAGCTAGAAAGAATTCTAAAGGTATGGCCACAGAACTCTGGTCCTGTTCTATCTAAAATTTTGAGTAAAGACCAAGAAGGCATAGTTTTTTACTCTGGAAAGCATAATACCCCAAGGAGAAGCTAATAATAGATAAGAACTGGAAAGAACTTAAGGGGCTGAGCAATGACCCAAAGCTTAACAAGATGAGCTTAATAAATACAAGCACGCCCTGCATTCTGGTTTAGAATAAGCCAGAGTTTGAGTTCTACTGTCAACAAGAGTCTACTCAAGTTCTGACACTTGGAACCCACTTAACCAGTATGGGAGTCATGCATGCCAGTACAGACAGATAATACAAAACACATTGGAGACAAACTACTTAGGTGACACAGTTACATGTAGTGGTTTACGATCAATTGTAAAATAGATGCTTTGCCTGCCTCCTAGAAATTAATACAGTCATGCACTACATAATGACATTTCAGTCCATGATGAACCGCATATAAAACAGTGGTCCTGTAAGACAACTATTTTTAGTGTAGCTTTTCTATGTTTAGGTACACTAAACTTACACTGTGTTACAACTGCCTCCAGTATTCAGCACAGTAACTTACAGAAGTTTGCAGCCTACAAACAATACTGTACAGCTTAGGTGTGTAGTAAATAGGCTATACCACCTAGATTTGTGTAAGTATACTCCATGATGTTTGCACAACAATGAAATCACCTAATGATGCATCTCTCAGAACCCTGAACATGTATTTTTTAAGTGACACATGACTAGATAACAAGTCTCTAGTATTCAGAACAAAGGGGTAATTCCAAGCTGTGCTTCATACTACTTAGGCAACATCAGGAGACAGTGGAGTTTTAGGACATACTAAGAAATAATGACAGATGAATGCATCTAAGAGAAAAATATAAGGAAAAGTGTAGGGGCAGAAGGCAGGGATCAGGAAGTCTCTGTCTAGAAACCATATTATAGAAAGAAACAGTAAGGTTGTTTTAATTGGGGAAGAAGGAGACCAGAGGGTGGTCTATATGATACTGTTCATAAGCACTGTACATCCCAGCTACCTTCCTTTCCTAAGAGAACCATAGCCTGTTTGCTAAAAGTTAAAGAGAGTAAATATTCAACTGTAGGAAGCCCGAGACCTTCACAAAACTATTCACTGGCATCCCATTTCCTATTTCTCTTTGGGGAATTAACGGATTGAGGCATACAATATAAGAAAAAAATCAGGTATGTATCTTAACATTAACTCTTTAAAAATCAGTTATGTACCTTCACATTAACTCTTAAAAACTAAAGATAATTATCAATTATCAGTAAGAACACTCCTCCCCTTGTCACCCCTATTGCTGATAGCAGGAAGATGTGCTAGAGACTGAGAGTTCAGGGAGAAGATGAAAACTAGATGGAGAAAACCTTGCCCAGTGTTTCTGAGATGTCTGAAAGAAGTCTAGAAGTTCTAAACATATACGCTATGGAAAACTGGCATAGTTGTGGTCACAAATTAGCTATTAACTGTAATTTAGGACAAGTTCCTTCACTTCTTTGGACTTCAATTTTGTCACCCATGAAATGGAGGGGGTGGAATACATTATTTCTAAGGTACTTTCTGTCTCTAACATACTTTATGCATATTCTCCTCTGAGAAACAGCCAGTAAGTATTATTATCACTGATAATATGCTAAAGAAGTCCTGTCTATAAGGTGAAAGTTATTTTAAATCAAAGAAATGTAGTCATGCTGTGTACACAGTGTGACTGAACAGTGTAAGACTTAAAGTTTTCTATTTATGGGAAGCTATGGTGTACATTTTGTTTCTTACCACAACTTTTGTAGCTTGGGCTGGCTTCCACTGTACAAGCGTGACTCCAGCACAGAGCATAAAAACTGAAACCCATTGTAATTTGCTGAGTGTCCGGTTTAACATTAAAACTGTACATAAAGCAGTACAGGGAATCTTTAACTGGTAGGTCACCTAAAAACAAAAGAATGAATTAATACAGTTAATACTAGGCTCTAATACAAATATATTATTTCTGATATCATTGATGCAATTATCAATTTTTAAAAATTGGATAATATGGTAAAGAGTTAATAAAAAATTTTTTACCATAAAAGATTCTGTGCTTTTCATTGTCATTAACTCCACTTACCTGGTACACTGCTGCATCCAGATTGCTAAGAGCTAGGAAAGCCATGTTGTTCTGAACAGCATACACTAACGATGGCACACTTAACTTCAACAGTTCTTTGGGGCTCCCCAAGACATTTTCTCTTAAAGATGCTTTGAATCTACCCAGACTACCAGTTTCTCTTTGAAAACAAAAGGGGGAGATGAGAGGGTGGTGAGGAAGAAAATTAAAGAGCATTCTTTTAATAAGATTTCTTCAAACACAGGACAGGCATACTGTGTATGCTGCAATTTAGCAAACTAATAATTTCTAACTAGTTTTAGATTAAAAGAAAACCAATAATGTATCCTCTTTAAAAAATTATAGTTCTGTTTGGGAAAATATGACAACTACTAGATTTACCATACTATCAATCTCTGGTCAAAGTTCTAAGAGGTTTTGAGTATATTAAATAATGAGATTAGGAAAACAAAATTGCTCACATTACCTATATAAAATTCATCCCCTGCTACTTTTACTTTAACTGTATTTTATCAAGTTCACCCCAATTACTTTTTAATTGATCAGTTTGCATATACATTTTTATTTATTTTTGAGACAAAGTCTCACTCTGTCACCCAGGCTGGAGTGCAGTGGCATGATCTCAGCTCACTGCAACCTCCACCTCTTGGATTCAAGTGATTCTCCTGCCTCAGCCTCTCAAATACCTGGGATTACAGGCACCCATCACCACGCCCAGCTAAATTTTTTTTAGTAGTGATGGGAGTTTACCAGTTTGGCCAGGCTGGTTTTGAACTCCTGACCTCAAGTGATCTGCCTACCTCAGCCTCCCAAAGTGCTGGGATTACAGATGTGAGGCACTGTACCTGGCCTATTTTTAAAGGTTTTTTTTTTTTTAATTACAGTAGATTTAATTGCAAATAAAAAGGCTTCAGTAGTTATGGAAGTTACATGGCTTAGGAATAGAGTGAGTTGGGTCAGTATTATTTGTAAATGAATTTAGTACTTATGAAACATAGTAGGGACTCCTTATGTAAGGATATTCTCATATTTAATAACTGTATAATTCTGTAGCAGATCTGAATAACTCCAACAAAAGTACACTATATCTGTAATGCATATAAAGTTTACTATTTGACTACATACTGATTATTCATGCTCTCAACTATTATTTTTGCTATTATTATTATTTCAGGAGGACCTGGCTAATCTGGCTTTTATTTCCTGTATCATAAATCAGCTCATTTATTTCCTGAAAAGAAAAATAAAACGATGTATTATAATAAGCAATAAAATAACCAACACCCCAAAAAAGTGCTTAATATTAATGGTCCTAACTGCAGCTCACGATATCCTTAAGAAAACCATAATACTTTGTTGGTGAGATAGCTCTATTCCAACTCAAAGTTTCATAATCACAGTGAGATTCTGTATTTTTGGTTAATATATTAGAATCAACAGTTGTGAGTTGATTTTTTTCATTTTTAAATGCTGCAAATATAATTACCTAAGTTCTGAGAGGAAGCAAAAGACCATTATATCAAATAAACTAACCTGTACCTATTTATTTGCTATAGACCATTCTACCTTCAAGAAAATGCTTAATTAATAAGACAGGAGCTTTGGCCTAAGCTGCAGAAACAAAAGACATCCTTAGTTACAGATCTTTTTGTGTCACCAAATCCAACACCCACCACACAGTGTTAAGTCTATATGCTGAAAAGCGATGCATACATCCTGGTAGTGGACTACAAACTCTATCCGAAAAGCAAAGGAATACCAAAAATACCACAGATTTTCCACCGAAAAATCTATGTAGGAGAGTTTTCCAGGCATCTGAAGATAGGCTCTTTAAACTAATGTTTGGCTTTGTTTTTAACTGATTAATGCAAATCTAAGATGCCCCATATTCTTTCCTTGCATCTTTGTTGTTGTTGTTCTTGTTGTTTTGTTTGAGATGATCTTTCTCTGCCACCCAGGCTGGAATGCAATGGCGTGATCTTGGCTCACTGCAACCTCCACCTCCTGGGTTCATGGATTCTCCTGCCTCAGCCTACCAAGTAGCTGGGATTATATGCACAGGCCACCAGACCCAGCTAATTTTTGTATTTTTGGTAGAGATGGGATTTCACCATGTTGGCCAGGCTGGTCTCAAACTCCTGACCTTAAGTGATCCACCTGCTTCGACCTCCCCAAGTGCTGGAATTACAGGTGTGAGCCACCGCACCCGGCCAACATCTTAAACAGAGTATAATGAATAATTGTCAAGAATGCTTTCCCCTCAATTATAAAATTGATGAAAAATTAGAGAAAAATATTAAAATGTAAAAGAATGGCCTTAATAAGGTAATGTATCAGAGAAAATAACTGAACAATTATCACTAGTCAGTATCATGATAGCATAAATTCTACAGATTGTGTGAAGTGCAAGTTTTAGTGCCCTTCTAAAATGCTGACATACACTGATGTGTCTTTAAGGTGGTACCCAAAAGGAACTGCTGAGAGGTACCTGTTTGTACCCATGTTTCACACTCACTCTACCTCCTCCCATATTCATTTATCTCCTATTGTAAGATTCTTCAAGCTGAACCCTCAAAGCCTACAGTATAATAGTTATTTATTCTTCCCCTAATCCCCACCTGTGGGCAATGCCACTTTACCTCCACCTGTTAAAGATATTACAGCCTCAGTGGTGTGGTGGTTCACACCTGTAATCCCAGCTACTCAGGAGGCTGAGAAGCAAGAGGATGACTTGAGGCCAAGAGGTGGAGACCAGCCTTAGTAACAAAGCAAAACCCCTTCTCTAAAAAAAAAAAAAAAAAAATTTCCAGGAGTGGTGGCATGTGCCTGCTGTCCCAGCTATTCAGGAGGCTGAGGCAGGAGCATCGCTTGAGCCCAGAAGTTTGAAGCTACAATGAGCTATGGTGGCACCATTACATTCCAACCTGGGTGAAAGAGTAAGATACCATCTCTTAAAAAAAAAAAAAAAAAAGTAAGATATTAGAAGCCTTCATTAGTAACAGATGACGTTTTGGCTCTCCAAAGAACAGGGGTGATCTCTTTGTCCTGTCAGAATATGGGCTACTTAAGGATCCAACTGCTACTCCAAACAGCTACCAAACCTGCACCAATAATCAAAGTAGCTGTGGTCCCTTTTCTCCCCTTCACTTTTCTTTCTTATCTCTTCTCCCTCACTTTTCGGCTTTCACATAAAAAGAAGGGCTTATGAAACAAATTAGCAGCCAATCTAAGTACTCCTTTCCTTCACTGTAGCAAAAAGTAAAGTCCAGTGTGTCAGGATTAACCCTCAGATCTGTCTCTTTTGGCCATATCCTTTTTGTTGGATGCTTAGGAGCTATTTTTTCACTGCCAAGATGGCCACGGTATCTTTTTCTGGTTCCTTCTCTAATGAAGACATTGGAGAAACCAAGGTATACCAGAGTGTTAATTACTGGAAAGTGCAAATATCACTGTAGTACCAAAGAATTATCGCAATGTTACATAAGATACTTTGAAATAAGTTACAAAAAAATAGCAGAGGATGCTAAAAGAACTAGTACAAGAGAATAACAGAAAAGTATCAGAAAGTAGACAGAGGAGATTTAGGAGCTATCGGAAAGAAATGTGGGAATCTTACCACACAAAGTTTTAAAGAAGAGGGTAAATTATTTTAGTATTAATCAGGTTAAATCTTGCTTAAGCTAATGTATTTATTAAGAACACAACTCTTAATCTTATATTTAGCTTCATTCACTAAAGTAACAAGAGCAATATATCTACTAGAAAACACTAGTAATCATCTTTTTGTTTTACTAAGAGACAGAAACAAATGATCAGCCCTAAATATACTGTAATATACTGTAAAAAGGGACATATTAAAACCAAAGGTTACTTTTCTTCTATTTTTCTGAACATACACACATATATATATAATATATATATAAAATGTGTATATAAAAAATGTGTATATATACACATTTTTTTTAGATGGAGTCTTGCTCTGTTGCCCAGGCTAGAGTGCAGTGGTGTGATCTCGGCTCACTGCAACCTCCACTTCCTGAGTTCCAGCGATTCTCCTGCCTTGGCCTCCTGAGTAAATGGGAGGTGCACACCACCACACCTGGCCAATTTTTTGTATTTTTAGTAAAGACAGGGTTTCATCATGTTATCCAGGCTGGTCTTGAACTCCTGACCAAGTGATCCACACACCTTGGTTTCCCAAAGTGTTGAGATTACAGGCGTGAGCCGCCATGCCTGGCCGTGAACTTATTTTCTTAGAAATCAAATCATAAGCACCTTAGTGAGCACCTCTGTTAAAAACAAATTTATTAAATTTAATTATATAAATGACATTGTTAGCTAGCAGAAAGAACACATAAAACTAAAAGCATATACTAAATTTATTTTTAGACACAGTCTTGTTAAATTTTCTATTTGAACAATTCTTTTGATTTTTATCATTGGAATAAACTCTGTGCAACCTTTGGTTGCCTGAAGAAATTCTGAAGCTCCATGTTGATTGCAGAGATATTCCGCTGCTGCCTCCCTCCCTAAATTTCCTATGAACTGGCTGAAACCAGTTCATTCTGACCTATGATTGGTCAAAAGTAGGCCTCATTCCTCCAGCTCCTGATCTGAAGAGAAATACTAAGAGGCATAAAATCCTTGGCTAGGTTACCAAGGCACTGTGCAAAATGGAACACAGCAGAAGTTACTCATGAGCTTAAGAAACTTAAATTTTGTTTATAAATTTCTTATCATCTACAAAGTTAATTAACTCATTTAAAAGACTTTGAGGGGCTAGGTTAAGAAAACAATAATGAGGTCAATTTGAGGACAAAAATACTCTTCATATGAGGGATGTGATTTTTACTTCCTCCCCAACACCCTGAACCCATTATAGCATGGGTACAACAGGGGAGTGAAAATGTGAACCCAGGAGAAGAAACAGAGCTGGATAATCTATAACATAAATATTTGACAGCTACATTAATTTCTCTAGATAATACTAAACAGTAAAAGGACTTTCTCTGGTCTTAATATGGACATGCAGTTCAAAGTTAAGATATATGTGGTTTGTTACTAAACGCACCCAAAGTATATGTACATTAACATTTACACATCCTGCTAGAGACACTATTTTTAAACTATGGTGAACAGCAAACAAAAAGTTGTTTGAGC